CCACTAGCTAAGCATAAATAACCAATCAATCTACCTACCTACGTATTTACTTTGGCTTGAGAGCATGCATGGTTAAATCTTCAGTGCTCACGATGTACAACACACTTTGCTAGGTGCTGGAAAGCTTCCAAAGATGAATCAAAACTTCCTTTTAGAGGTAACCTGAGATAGTGGAGAGAGCATGGACTTTGGACCATGACAGACCTGGATTTGAACCAGCAATTCAACGCTTATTAACTGTGTAGCTCTGGGCAAGGCTGAGCTTTGGTTTCCTGGATTTGAAATAAGAAAAGCATCAGGACCTTTGTACTTACTATTCCCTCGCCTGACATGCTCTTGCCCCAGATACAGCATGCTCACCCCTTCCTCTCCAAAAGGTCTTTACAAAGATGTCACCTTCTCACTGTGGCCCTCCCTGACCTCTATGCACACACGTGCGTGCGCACACACACACACACCCCACTTATACTCCCATCCACTTCCCTGCTTTATTTTTTTGCCAGAACCCTGATGACCATCTAGCAAATATGTATTTTATTTATTCACCCAGTTTATCAGGTCTCTCCCACTAATCTGTCAGCTCCATAACGCAGGTTTTGGTGGTTGTTTTTCTCCCTGTCAGTTTATTGCCTAAAGTGCCTAAAGGAGGGCCTGGAATATAAAGGTGTCACCAGAAACTTGCTGAACGGAGGAAGGTGATGAAGGTTCCTGCAAAGTATCAAGGTTTCCATTAGAGACTATACAAATAAAGTTCTTAGGATATAAAAGGCAATCAGTAAATAGTAGGTATTATCTTTAGAGAAGAGATTATAGATAAAACGGTTAGTAGAGTATTTAAAAAAAGTAATGTGAAAACAATGCCAGAGATGACATAAGACTGCTGCTTAAGCAGCACAAGAGTAAAAGAAGAAATAATTTCTGTAAGTCCATTGAAGTGAGAACATTCTGGGTTGTTCTAAATGATGAAACTAAGAATTTTACACTTTCTTTTACAGGAAAAAAAGTTTATGAGGGTAAGTCTGAAGAAGAGATTCTGGATTACCAGTGGACATTATTTATGTGTTCTTCACCCTCTGGCCATCTGCCCTTTCTACTCCCTCATCCCCTGCCCCATTGAAACAGATAACTAATTTAGTTTTATTTTACTAGGATTCATTTACTTTGACAGAAGAGAAAAGCAATAGAATGTGAGAATGTCAGGACAATAATCATGCCTCTGAATATATTTCCTGATAATTTTTCTGACTATGTGGGAGTTTGTAAGTGAATGTATTAACATTTTTTCACCAAAGAGTCTGGAAAAAGAAGATTCCATAAATGAGCTATTACTTATTTAATTCTTCTTTCTATTATGGCTTCTTTGTCAAATTAATACAGGTAAAAGAAAATACATCAATACAAAAATACCTATCACATCTTTGAATATGATATAAAAAATTATCAAAAGAATGCCCAAGATTAAAAATCTCTACATAAAGATAAGAAAATATTTTATTCACATAAAGAAAGCTTTCTTCATTTTATAAAAGGATTTCCTAAGGAATCCTTAAAAATTAGTGTACTTTCCTAATCAACTTGAATTTATTCAAAATTTATTAAAAACATCATTCACATAATTCTCAGAAATGCATTCAGTGCATGAAAAATAAAACTGTGATAAGAAAAATAAAACACTGGGGGAAGTCCAGGTTCTCAAATTTTGAGCAAAAAATAATAAATAGTGGATGCTTCTGGATTAAATGATTTAAAAGCCTGAACGTATCTGTAATGTGGGAAGTAAACCATTTTCTTCCTTAGAAACTATTTCCACCAATGCCAATTTGAAGTAAACATTACAATATTTAAAAAACAGCCATTTTTCATAAAAAAGTTTATTAAGAAAATGTTCTGCGTCTCACTTTGGTGAGTGGCTTCTGGGATCTTAAAAGCTAGCAAGCTAAGATGCATCAATTGGTCCCAACCCACCTGGAGTAAAGGAGAATGAAGAACCCCATGGAATAAGGAAAGTATTAGCCCAAGAGACAGAAAGGGCCATATAAACCAGAGACTTCATCAGCCTGAGATGAGAAGAACTAGATGGTGCCTGGCTACCACCAATGACTGTCCTGACAGGGAACACAACAGAGAGTCCCTGATGGAGCAGGAGAAAAGTGGGGTGCAGAACTCAAATTCTAGTAAGAAGACCAGACTTAAGGGTCTGACTAAGACTGGGGGGACCCCAGAAGACATGGCCCCTAGACTCTCTGTTAGCCCAAAACTAACACCACTTCCAAGGTCAACTCTTCAGACAAAGATTAGACTGGACTATGGGACATAAAATGATACTCGTGAAGAGTGTGCTTCTTAGCGCAAGTAGATACATGAGACTAAATGGGCAGCTCCTGTCCAGAGGCAAGATGAGAAGGCAGAGAGGGTCAGGGTCAGGAGCTGTTTGAATGGACACGGGAAATCAGGGGTAGAAAGGAGGAGTGTGTTGTCACAGTATAGGGAGAGCAATTAGGGTCACATAACAATGTATGTATAAATTTTTGTATGAGAGACTAACTTGAATGGTAAACTTCCACTTAAAGCACAATTTAAAAAAAAAAAAAAAATAAAAAAAAAAAAAAGCCATTTTTCTCATGACTAAATGTGAAGATCTACTATGCTAAAGCATTCTACAGAATTAAAACTTCCAAGCACAGCTACTCAAAAAAATAATAAAGTTTTCCAAATCCTCCAAATATTAATTTTAAAACTTCTGATCATAATACGATCTTATGTAAGCACTCAGTTGACAAACTGTTCTATTAATCCAGTTGGCATGCTTACCATGTTATGTTTCTGGTTCCTTTTATGGCAAATATTTGAAAAAACACTACTAATTTTTCAAAATACATTATCCATACCAGGCAATCATTATCCCTGCTCTGATCATTATAACCCGAGCATTCTACCAATTTAAATAAACATTTATTCTATTTAATATTTGCTTAGCACCATAATATATGCTGAGAAAAATTATTCATTAGTTTACGTCACACTAAATAACTGCTGTTTCCAGGAAACTGGACTCTAATGTAGCAAAAGAGTGATGGATAAGGCAGGGAGGGCTATTTGCATTGTATCAGCAACACAGACAGTGGGCCTTCCTTTGCAAAACTGATATAATATGGGATCTCAAAGAAAAGAAAATTAACGTTCACAACAGTGAAATTATGAAAATAATAAACCAGTATCAGTTGCCAAAGAGTCGATTCCAACTCACGGCAACCTCCTGGGTGCAGAGTAGAACTGCTCCATAGGGTTTTCAAAGTCATGACCTTTTGGAAGCAGATTACCACATCTTTCTTCTGAGGCGCCTCTGGGTGGGTTTGAACATCAAACCTTTTGGTTAGTAGTTAAGCACTTATATATTTGTGCCACTCAGGGGCTCCTATGAAAACAATAAATGCTGAAAATATTTAATTTTAATATGTTAAATCAATGTTATTAAATATAATTATAAACCAAATAAGATGCCACAAAATAGGGAAAGTAGCAAGTAATGGTGAGTAGAAGGTTAAATTCCATGAGAATTGGGATATTTCTCAAGCCCCACTTCAAAAAGGTGAGGTTGCATGGGCTACAGAAGGAACACATGGTTTGAGACAAAGAGACCTAGTGCAGAATCCCATTTCTGCCATGTAAGTCTCTGTGAAAGAGTGAGCCAGTTATTTAACCACTTAAAACCTGTTTCTTCATCTAGAGTGTGGGACTTATTTAATGCTTTCAAAATTGTGTGAGAATCAAAAATACATAAAATACTTGGCACGGGGTACATCAGTAGATATTCTATATTGGTAGATGAAAATAACTTAGGACCCCAACAGATCAAGGGGACATACAACATGACATAGTCTATACCATTAAAAAAAGTTATCAAAAGTCAGACACCCAGCAAAGTCAGAAGGTATGAAATAATAGGTGCCCTTGACCTTGATGATGCATGTGATTAAGATAAAAATGAAAGGATGTAAGCAAGAAAATGATGTAACCATTTAACAGTGTAACTTGCGGGGGGGAGGGGGCGGGGGGAGTCAAGGAGACAAGCAGGTCAAGGCAAATGAGTAACAAGGAACCTGTCAATCCAGTGCAGCCACAATCTCATGGGATACGGCCTTTGATGTCATCCAAGCAACAGTAACGCTAATAAGTAATAGCTGGTTCAGAGGGTGCCATTGCTGAGCTTTGACACTGACTGCCCCACTCCCAGAAAACAGGACAATGAGTCCTTGGCTAGATATCTGCTATCACTTTCATCTGGCCAGAATTTAATGTTGCATCTATGGTCTTCATTGTCCTTCAGGCAATAAGAATTCTCCACGTAACCTGCCATTAGTCAGAAAAGACTGCCTTAAACTAGACCAAGGTAGACTTGGCCCTCCCTGCATGTGCAGAAGGGCCAGCTGTGACAGTTAATTGACCTCAACAGCAGATGCAGCAACACGTGGAACGAATCAGAAGGAGAATCATCACCTGGATTCCATTTTGAAGCGAGAGGTCTGACAAGAACCACGTCACCTCCTGTTTTATGGCTGCCCTATGTATTCCTTCTAGAATTTGCCCTTCCCAGCACGTCTGTGTGGGCACCATCTTGCTGCTCAAATCACATATAAGCACTGCTTCCCCACAGCTCGGGGAGTCAGATCTGAGGAACTTCCTCCCAGCTCCTTGTTCTGTGCATTGCAATAAAGTTACTTTCTCTTTCTCAAAGGCCGGCGTCCAGATTATTGGCAAGTCTGAGTGCGCCGTACAGAACTCCCCTTCCTGGGTTTGACAACATCCAGGGGCTGAGTCAAAGGTGCTCAAGAAGTGGTGAAGAGTGACATCCCACCATGCAATCAAGTTTAGAGAATAGTGTATCTGACTAAGGACAGAGGATGAGGATCTGCCCTAAGAACATTCCCAGGGAATGACTGAACTTAGTATAGCAGAGTGGGTCACACAAGGTTGCACCAAAGCTCTCAGTTATTACATACCTCCAACAGCTACTGTTTTGCATTTATTGATAGGTTCCTTTAAAATTATTCTCATGTACGCTTCTTGAGGCAGGGTCTTGACTTCTACTTCATAAGCTTCCCAACCAGACACTTCCATGCATCTCGAAGAACTCAGTGGTATGTCTAGAATAGAGGAACAATTTAAGGTTAACCACCTTTAGATGGAATCATAAACGTCTACAGCAAAAAGATTATAAATCTAGAATAGCTCACTATGAATAAAAAGCATTAAATTATTAAAGTCTTAGCTTGGAAACAAAAAGTTCACAAAGGAGCTTTCCCACCTCTTACCTTGCTCCCAATCTTTTCTTAATTGAAAACTAAAAGTTTGTAACATTCTGTCACATAGAGGCATTTCTCCTTTTAGATATTTATCTTCTATCTTTAATTATCAACAAATAACTGATAATCACAACTTCAAAATGAAAACAAAGGGTGACTGCTAAGTTACCATCCTTACAAGTTAACCTTACAAAAAGATGGTCATTTTTCTGAGATCAAAACAATATGCTCATAAATGATAGTTTTTAAAGATATATGTGTGGGAACGGGTGTGTGCGTAACACGAAGCTAGAGATAATGTTTTACACCTGACAAAGAACAAGGAGAAGTGTTTGTTTAGCTTCATAGTAATTTGCACTTACATGGGAAAGAATGTGGAATGTAATACGCTAGAAAAGTAACATTTTTATATGGATCATGTTTAAGCTAATAACAGTCTGTTTCTCCATAACTAGTAAAGAATGTTTGCATTCAACACTGTGATCTTTTAAAGAACTATCTATATGGGATCAAACTGACAATAGCAACTTGAAAGCTTAGATAGGCTTGGGGGGCAATGGGTTTACATTAATAGGAAAGAACAATTTGGTAAAGGAGAGTGAGAATGGTCACACAACTTGAGGAATGTAATCAATGTCACTGAATTGTACATGTAGAAATTGATGAACTGGTGTATGTTTTCCTGTGTATATTTTCAACAACAATATAAAAATAATAATCTTTAAGAAGTGGGTTCTCCACAAGCGGCCATCTAAGATGCATCAATTGGTCCCAACCACCTGGAGTAAAGGAGAATGAAGAACAACAAAGACACAAGGAAAGTATTAGCCCAAGAGACAGAAAGGACCACATAAACCAGAGACTTCATCAGCCTGAGACCAGAAGAACTAGATGGTGCCCAGCTACCACCAATGACTCCCTGACAGGGAACACAACAGAGAGTTCCTGATGGAGCAGGAGAAAGGTGGGGTACAGAACTTAAATTCCAGCAAACAGACTAGATTTAATGGTCTGACTGAGACTGGAGGAATCCCAGAAAGCAAGGCCCCCGGATTCTCTATCAGCCCAGAACTAAAACAATTTCCGAGGCCAACTCTTCAGACAAAGATTGGACTGGACTGTGGGACATTAAATGATACTCGTGAAGAGTGTGCTTCTTAGCTCAAGTAGATACATGAGACTAAATGGGGAGCTCCTGTCTGGAGGCAAGATGTGAAGGCAGAGAGGGTCAGGAGCTGGTTGAACGGACATGGGAAATCCAGAGTGGAAAGGAGGAGTGTGCTGTCATGCTATAGGGAGAGCAATTAGGGTCACGTAACAATGTACGTATAAATTTTTGTGTAAGAGACTAACCTGAAGTGTAAACTTTTACTTAAAGTACAACAATAAAATTTAAAAAAAAAGAAAAAAAAAAAAGCGGGTTCTCAACTCTTTCTAGGATAGAATAAGCCCTATATCATTGAGTATCTGACGAATGCTAAGGCTATTTCACTCCTCCCCTCATCAAATTTCAGGAGGATCATGAACTCCTTGAAGCCCATCCCTGCACCCCAGGAAAAAAAGCCTGGTGGCTTCTATGTACGAAAGCAGGTAGCTGAAATCTTGAGGCAACTAACAGGCTTAACTCTATGAAGAAACAATTCTTGGAGCAAAAGAAACCACCACTGTGGTAGTCCCTAAGGACACAGGCATACAGGCAATTTCCCCCATTTAATCATTTTTTACTCTATCTGAAAGAAATAGTGCTACATCTGTAAGTAATCAAATACTGTCACAAAGAAAGCAGTTGTCAAAACTAAGCAAAAAGAACTAGGACTCTTTTGCCATTACATTAACTTGAAAGTGTTCAAGTAAAACATATTTACATAAAAGAACATTATCTCCTGATGATACCAACATACAGTATTATAAGCCAAAAAACAAAGCCAAGGAAGGGCTTTTTGTCCCCCAAAAATTATACCTCAGGAATTAGTGTGGCATCTTATATTCACGCTCTCACCAAGTCACATGTTACAGACACAATCTCAGTTTATTTTGAATAATGAAATAATGTTTGAGAAAGTGACTACAATTAATTTTGGCTTTGGATATTTAGAGGTCACTTTTGGCTGCTAACCAAAAAGGACAGCAGTTTGAATCTACCAGCTGCTCTTTGAAAACCCTATGGGGCAGTTCTACTCTGTCCTATATAAGGTCTCTATGGGTCGGAATCAACTCGATGGCAATGGGTTGGTATTTTTTAAACAGAAACTGGTTAACAAAAAGGAGGCAAAGAAAGAGATTTCATGCAAAACAATTTGTATATTGTTTAATGAGAAACTAATTTGCATTTTAAACTTTCACCTATAGCACAAAACAAAAGAAATAGATTTAATAATTATACTTGGAGGTAGGACCTAACGATAGCAAATATGAGATGTCATTTTCTTAAAAGTCTTTTAAAGATCATTTTATAAAGCAATATGGATTTGGGGGTTATAGATGGCCAGCTGAATAGGCCTGTTTTTAATCTGCTTCCCTCCAAATCCCCACTAAAATGATAAAGGAGGAAAGAGATATAAATCTACAGGGCAAAAAGAACAGAAAAGAAGACTGGAGCAGATGATAGACATTGACAGCATTCTGGAAGCTGGAAAGCAGACAGAGATGACTGCTGAGCAGAGCAGGCTGGAACCTCCATCTGAGAAGCAAACAAGAAGCCAGCTAGCTAATCCAGAAAGGCTCAGGACCTGGAGTGCTGGGTTCCTCCAAAGGAGGAGAGAGGGAAGGGGTAGGCTGAGAGAGAAGAACTGGTTGAATGTCTGTATAAAATGCAGTGAGAACCCCAGGCCCCCTCTCCCAGCTGGTAAAGCCAGACAAACCATCCTCCCCCAACAACAGGAGGCAATTTTACTCATGGAAGAAAATCATACAGCAAGACTTCCGACTCAGAGACACGGACAGTGGGTCAGGCTGAAATAGAGGCAGCATTAAGTTCTAAGAATTTACGGTTTTGGATGGTGAGATCTCTGGCTCCCTTCTGCCATTTGGCTTCTCCAAATCCTCACAGGCATGTTTATACCCTACAGAAAGGTTAACAGAGGATTCCTTTTTGGAGAAACTGAAAGGTCCAAGAAAAATCTGTAAATTCTGACTTCTAGGGATTCCCCAGTGAAATGGCCAGGTCCCTGTCGAAAGACCCTGTAATGAAGCTACCAGGTAACCGCCTCACTCTTAAGCATGAAGAGATAAACAGATGAACAAAAAATGAAAGCCTCACCGTTCATTTGAGAAAAGCTTCTAACACTAAAACCAGGACCAAAACAGATAAAAATGGGGAATAGAGAGGAAAAAGAAAAGTGCAAAGAGTAGGAGAAAACAGCAAAATAATTCAATTAATATTCTCAAAGGAAAAGAGAAAATACTGCATCCGAGAAACAAGAGCAGGATATTATTTTTAAAAAGGAAATATTTAGAGACTATATATCAAATTAACTTTGAAATTACATGCTAGCAAAAATTAAAAGTTACATTAAGAAAATTTTTATCAGGAAGTTGAACAAAAAGACAAGAGAGAGAAAATAACTAAGAAAAAGCCGTAAGAAAATTAGAGGATCAAACTAGTAGGTCCAACATTCATCTAACAGACTTATAGAAAAAGAGAACAGCGAAATGGGTGAGAGGAAATTATCAAAGAAACAATAAAAGAAATTTTCTCAAATTGAAGCACGAGTTTCCAAATGGCAAGGATCATGAATATCAAAAAATAGTATGAAAAAATGTTCCAATATGAAATTTCAAAATTCTAGAGAGAAAAGAAAAGATCCAAACATTTTCCAGACAGATAAAACAGTTCACATACAACCAACTGGGAAGCAGAATGGTCTGAGACATCTCAACTTAAGTATTACAGAGCTCAGCCACAAACTATTGTCACAATAAAGTAAACGTTAAATATTTATTTCACCACAGACTGAATTGTGGCTACACCAAGAAAATGGAGAGACAGGAAAAGTAGGTGTGTACTGAAGGTAGAGGGATGTGTATGAGAGCTAAATCCTCAGCTTCCGTGGCAGGAAATCAACATGTTAAGTCTAAATTTAAAAATAAGTCAATAAATAGCACTTCAAGCATACCACTATTTATGTAGAAACGAGTAAGTGAATGCCAGAAAACATAATTAAAAGAGCAGAAAAGGGCTATCTTTGGGCAAAGGGGTAATGGAAACATAAAAAGAACAAGGATTGGCTGCTGCAGTACTATTTGAATGATTAAATGATGCACATCCAATTACCATGAAGAAATTAGATAGATGAAAATATATTTAACAATGTAATTCTAAAAATTGTTACACAGTGTAGATCTCCAATGTTCATCTACAGAAAGACTGAAAACAGCAACCGTCTTAACATTATGCAAATGGTTACTTGTGGCTTGGAATAACATTTCCAATTACAGCACCACACATGAATTCCAAAAGCGCCGTACTGCAAACAACTAAAATGATCACATGCTGTGGAAAATGGTATTGGGTGCTTCAAAAATGTGATTCTAATAATGAAGATACTAATGTCAAATAAGAGTTGGAAGAAAATTGTTCCAGGCATGGAAAAAGTTATAATATTCTGTTTTATATAAATCTGTGACTGTTATATATAAGCATGTAACTAAATTAATTAAATGGTATAAATATTTGTTTGACTATTACATCATTGTTGTTGTTAGTTGCCACAGAGTCAATTCCTCCTTATGGCAACCCCATGTGTGCACAGTGGAAGTGCTCCATCTGGTTTTCAAGGCTGTGACCTTTTGGAAACAGGTATCTATATCCCCAAAATGTCCCTTATACATTCAGGTTGTTT